GCGGGGCGCCTGCCCATTGTTCGGAAAGGCCAGCCCGGAGTCCTCCAGGCGAGGCCGGGCTCCCCGCCAGTCCAGCGGTGCTCCAGAGGTGGCGGGCGCAGCGGCCCGCGTCCAGCTGTTGGCGGTACGGAGAACACCGCTCCGCTCCGGACCCCCGCGTCGCCCCCAGCTCCCTCGTCTTCCATGAAGTTGCGGCTTTTGCCTGAGCGAGGGTTTTTACTCTGTGTGGATCTCACGAGTCTCTCTTGATGTAGAAAATGTTTTTCCTATTTTTTTCTTTCTGTGAGTTACAAACAAAAAAAAGATGCTGTTGGCATTTTGCAGTCATTCTCTGCATGCGATCCTTAAAACTACTAGGGGACCCGGTCAAGTGTGTATTTAAAAGCCAAACGGGATGAAATGGGATGCAGATGAGTCGGAGGGGCTGTGCTTTGAGGTTTCCTTCATCAGAACAAGCATATGCTGCGAACGTGGCTTGTGAGAAGTCCACGCTGTTAGAAGGGAACACATTGGAGAGACATCCTGGACGTGTGTGTACCCAGGTGCACGGGCTGAGCGTCAGCTTCCGCTCAGAAATGTCAGGAGATGTTGGAATTCGGGTTTTTATTTCTGGGTGAGGAACCGTAGCGCCTGGGGGGCGTGAGCGTCACGGCCCCACGGGGAGTTGAGGCAGATCTGCCCTGGAAGTCACTGCCATTCCTGGGGATGGAAACCATCATTGGTTCCAATGACAGACCGTTGCTTCCCTACAAGACCAGCAGAAGTTGTTGTCTTTCAAGGGGTAGGATTGGAGCAGTCTACACTGGCCATTCTTCCGCACGCACCCTGTCCTCCTGTCCCGCGTTTCCAGATCACTTTTCCATCTCGTTTCAGAGGGGAGGTGGGTGTAGGGGGGAGAGAGGTGGGTGAAGAAGAGAGAGGTGTCCGCCGCCGGGAGGAGATCACCGCGGGCTCTGGCCCTTTAAAACCCTGCCTAATGGGATCTATATGGATGGCAGCTTTTAAGTTTCATAGGTTCTAGAATTACAAATTAGCTAATTTTAATCAAAACATGTGAAATGTTATCCCGGCTGGATATAAAGGCTGACTGTGCTCGACGCTCGGGGCCCGCGTTGTTGACTTTGGCTGCGGGCGCACTCCGCGGTTTGGGAGATAGTCGTCCTTCTGCAGTATAACAGATGTTTGTCTGAACTGGTGAGGAAGAAACAAAAACAACATTGTGCGAAGGGGAAAAATTACACAATTTGCAGCCGATGCGGCAAGACTAAGTATGGAATTAACCTTGGTGCACAGAATTTCCTCTTTTAAAAATGTTGTCCTCCGAATCCCCACCTACGGTGTGAAGTTCGAATCCTCACCGTTTCAATCCAGAGTGGCATGAAATAAGAAGTTTTATGCAGGTTATTCAGTAGCTTGTAGAATCAGTATTTGCTCTCTGGTTTGGGACCTTGAAGGAGACCCTTGATGGAAATTTTCAGTCATGTTCACATCCACCATGGCAGAGAGTCTGGTGGGATTGTTTTGTAGGCATCCCTCTAATATAATAGCTCTAAAAGTCCTCATTTAGAACGTGGTTTCTCACAGTCAAAAGGTGGAAGGGTTATTTCTGAACTCATTAATATGTTTCTGCTTTTAATATGAATAACCACATCAGCAAACCCCTCCCCAAACCTCATGATACTGTTACCCGTCCAGCTCCCCACCCCCCCAACCTGAAGTGTAGAGTAACATAACAAGTTGGTTGCCCTGTATTAAAATGTGTGCAACAAAATGTCACCGAGAACACAATGTGGCCTTGTGCAGCTTCATATCGGTGCCGCTGGAGCTGCCTGGCTGTGTTTGCCTTCATCTGAACGGCTTTCATCTGGACCAGTGTAAACTAAGCCCTGGTAAGTAATCACTGCCCGGCAGAAAGAAAGGAATGTATACAGCTAGCGTGGCCTAAGCTGTAAAAACGGAAACCTGAGCACCCCCCCTCGGATCGCATATCAAGGCTTGAAGGTAGGGGAAATGAAAGGGGGAGAGAGGAGACAGCAAATGGAAAAGTCAGCCTGGGAAGTGGAGGATCAGGAGGAGGCCTCCCTGAGGGAGATTTGGCTCAGGGATTAGGGCATTTTATCGTGGTGTACAGTGACCTACTCGGGTTTCAACACTGGTTGGATTGAGTTGCTTCTCTGTGAGCTGAGAGAAAAAAGACTGGTGTGTATGTGATTTTTTTTTCCCCTTCGGGTAATAGAAAGGACATTGGTACAAGCGTCTATTTTAAGTATAGCAAATGCAGGGCACTAAGAATGAGCAACAAAATTGCCTCATGACAGAGACTTCCTTCAAGATTTCCTAACTGAGATAGTCACATATTTATTTTAAAATGGCTGGAGAAGACAAACTGGCTGAGGTTTAGCTGACACCAGTAATGGCATTGGAGAGTGTCTTCATGTGGCTGAGGCTAATGCTGGTTGCTGTTTCACTAGATCAGATATTGAGTTACATTTTCGTTATCACTGGTTTAATGTACATGGCAGTTGTAACAAATTTAAATTTGATACAATATAATTTTGTGTGTGAAAGTACATGACTTGGCACAGCTTGCTTATAGTGCACTTCGTGAAAATATCTTGGAGTAGAAATGTTTGTCTCACTACGACCTTTACCGTGTTCCTTTAGCTTTCCTTTTATTCTCTTCTCATCCTGGTTTTTCCTGATTTTAAAAATGGGTTTTCTTGTTGTACTTGTAATTAGTCTGCTTTATTTAATTAAACTAAGAGAGGATTTAAAAAAAATCAGATGGCAATGCGATTTATATTTGGACTCGTTTGGTTTCTACAGTGAATATTGTGATTGTGTCTAATGTAATATATCTCTGATATGCTATTAGCTCACATGGATCAAAATAAATGAATGTCAGGAGGGAATTCCAACATATCAAAGGGTTAATTAGTTTTAGGAGTTCGTCCAAAATGTAGAAACTAGTTCATACTAGTGTAAGTGTCAATGTATATGTAAGGTAAATATTGTTGCACTCAAGGATATGCATTTTGTGCACATAGATCTTTGTGATCGATAGTTACCGAACAATAATATAACTCAAAAAAACTAAACTATGAGTAGAGATAGTGAGTCAGATTTTTATCTTTTAAAAGTCTTTGACAAAACCATTGTGATTAGATCAAGCACTCTGTCCTGGAAGCTGTCCTAAACAAACCATAATTAATGCACTTACAATGTTTGACTTCTTTATCAATTGCTAAACTGCATGATAAGCTGTGTTAAATGTCATTGGGTCGCTTCTTTGCTGAAGAATTTTTCTATCTATAAATATTCTGAGTAAGTAATTTGTACCTAAAATTATGCTTCAGTCCTGATGTCTACAGTTTGAGTCAGGCACATCTGTTAGAGTTTAGTAGTAAACTTACCACAAGATTTTCTAGTTTGGTTTCTGATGGTCTCCATTTGGCATTAAAAAATGGCCTGTGTCAATTGCATAGATAATAAATACAGCAAGTTGCAGAGTTGGTGAGATAAATAGCTTGATGCTAAACAAACTTACAAGCAAACAAACCCAGAGAAATCAGCATGTGGATTGGAAAAGTCAGTGTGTTTACGGTTGAAATTAGCTCATTACTAAAACAGGTATATTTTAAGTTTTGCTGCTGAAACTATCCTGGTGTCAGAAGTGGTGAATCTCAGGAACTTGGAAAGAGGACTTGGGACCAGATCCTAATTTGGGCATTCACAAATTATGTTAACCCTCCTCCTGCCTCCCTGCTGAGCAGTGGCCTCAGGTGTGCCACGTGGCAGGGCTGGGGACTTAAGTCAGTGGGACAGGTATAGGGTGTTCCTGGATCTCAGACTTGCTCTCAGTTGTCCTGCTTAAGGCTCTGGGCTAAACCCGTAAAAGACAGTCCTGAGAGGGATCAGAGAACTAGGCATTGAGCTCTGTTCAAGCCGGGGACTTTCTGGGAAGTCTCTTTCTCCATCTGTGAACTGGTCTGCTGTGTGGTGGAGTGCCATTCCCTAAGCCTTATACAACTTGCAGGTTCCAGGGACTAGGAAATGGAAAGGAACCACTCCACTTCCTCCCGAATCTGAAATAAACATTTGAACTAGAAGAAAATGAGTCTGACAGACTCATTCCCTTCTGCGTTTCCTGCCTCTGTGCTTGCCAAGCTCTGCTCCAAGAAGCCAAACCCTACTCTCCTTGTGTGAAAGACAGACTTATAGAAACCCAGAAGCAGCAGAACTTTTAAAAGAAAGTCAAAAACAGGGCCTCCAAAGAGGGCAGATGTTGGTGAGTGCAAGCGACTCTCTCAATGGGAGAGTTCTAGGAACAGATACGCCTGTTGTTTTGTGACCAGCCTTTTCAGGTCCTTCCGTCTTCTAAGGAGATGTCCCTTTTATTTATCAAGAATCTGTATACTTAAAATAATTTGAAGTAGTAGAAGGTAGATCACAGAAATCCCTGATGTCTAAAACTTCCTCTTGTGGAGTGGAAAGTCAGCCACATGTGCACTCTCTAGTTAATAAGATTATTGAATATTTTTCTAAAAGAGAGAGGACGTTAAAGGGTAACAGCAGCAGAAAAAAACCCAAAACAACAGAGTACTTTGTTTCTGGTAGTGCCAATTGAAACACGTAAGCAGACATGAAAGCATGTGGTAAGTGAGATG